GACACAACTTAAATACAAAATCAATAAAATACAGGGTGAGATGTTAAAGGATTTCAGAAAGAAAACCATAACCTTAAAGACCAAACAGCCTATTGTTGATGCGCATCAACTAACGCATTTGTTAGTGACATAAAAGCTCTATGACGTTGTTTCTAGCCATGAAAAAACGTCAAATTATAAAGTTCTATTTCGCGTTTTTTTCACGGATTCCAACATGGTGTACGCTTAAAACTACGTCTTCCAAGAAAAGTGGAATTAAGCGTCGCGCTGATAACTAGTGGAAATTAAACACAAATGGACACAAAAGATACTACACTATCTGTAACCTCCGTTCTAATAAAAATAATAATAAACATATAAATTTTGAACTCGGCTTTTTGCATTTGTCATTTCATCTTTTCTATACTTGTTGTACTGCCAACAACGAAGTCCATCTTTTCTTTCTCGTGTCAAAACGAAGTTCTCGAACAATATGACCAAAATTATCTTAAACATAAGGGAACACTGTTTATATCCATATATTACCATGCAATATTCTAGGTTTACTACATGTACATGTATTTACTCGTAAAGCAAATATAGTATCGGGCTAGTGATAAAAAAAAATAGGCGCTAATGAAAGAATCAAATCGGAGCAAATTAAAGATCGATTTTTTTTTTAAATCGGCGCAAATCTCGTACACCCGTGTAACTTTACACTGGTAAATTTATATGACTTACGCTTAAAATTTTAACGTAATATGTGATTTTCAAAATTGAGTTTTCAGAAGGTTAGGCCGATAAACAATACTTTCTAGAAGTTTCGATATACTGGCAACGTATGCATGTTGAGATTAACTTATTTCTTTAAGATTCTCGTAAACTAATGGTGATCTTGCAATGAAGTTAAATTTTATCTATACTGCTTAATTGACAAAATATTAATTTACGGTTTTTAAAACTAAACTTGTTGTAAATTTAACTTATGACAAAAATAATTGCTTCAAGAATAAGATCCAACATAACATTTCTCACTTTCAAAAAGCTACAATGACCGGAAAGATTGAAAACAAATTTCGATTTTCAATGCCGGCAATCTGTACATACCTCGTCTTTGTTTTAATTTCCAAAATGAGCTATTTAGATTCATAATATTTCATCCAGTTTTGAGAAATACTTTATAGTTTTCATCGGAAAATTATTTCTTAGATTCTAAATCAATTTTTGAATTAAAAACTTATTTGTATTTTATATTTACTGTCTCGTTTATTCAAAACACGTGAGGTAATAATAACGGGGATCGTATTTTATGATAAATGGATGTATAACGTTTTAGAATCAGAAGTTTAAAACTTTAATTCATATATTATACCTATAATTCTAATTTTCTTATATTTTAAATATTCAGAAATAATGAATCCACAAACTAGATGGAATAATTTATATACGCTCGTCTTAGTCGGGACACATAATGGTATGAAGAAGTCCGTCCGTGCTAATGTCTGTCCGTCTGTCAACAGTAGCGAAAGAGTACGCTAGGGCGAAGTTCTGAAATTGACGCGACAAAAAAACCCACACATCTAGTCTAATATAGTCAAATAGTCTGTAAGTTAGCCAGTGTCATCTTTCATTTCTCTTTTTATTTTCAATGATTTTGCTAATGAGAGGGAGAGGACAAAAACAGACTTTCCTTTCTAAAGCGTCGTAAAATGGCTAGTTCGAACAATTTTTCATTCCGACGGATGGTGTTTCTGAAGGTTAATTTTGTGCGGCAACAACATCATGAGATCTGATACTGATACATACATGTGATCTCTTGTATTACCGGATAATAAAGTAGGTGAATATAGTTGTTATTCTTGATTTTTGAAAATTTAAATGTGGGTTTCAAACGTCCAATTTGCAATTTTTTTCAAACAGTACGCCAGCAAGGAAAACTTGTACTATGACGTCAGATTCAATGTTCTGAAGAAAGACAACTCTTTTCTTCAAAACGAACGAGAAAAAAACATGAAAATTAATCATAACTTTTTTGAAAGGTCGGTGACATATACATTTTTTTGCTTTATTTTGAAGAGTACACATGTCACTTTCCTTCTTGAAATTTTTATGAAAAAATCACTGGTAGATATTTTTTAATACTTGAAACGTTTTTCATTCTTGCGTTTTATTTTTAGCAGGAATGAAATAAATCATATTTTTTTAGATCAAAACAATAAGTGTCTTAAACTCTTGAACCTGTATTTGATAGACACAAATCTACAGTTTAACATGAAACAAGAATTATGCTTGTAGGTTTGATATAATGGGATTTTTTGAGAGTTTACATAACAAGCAAATATCATGTTAATATTCGGGAAAACACGAAACTGAGGTTGCTATAGTGACAAAACTAAGTCGGTGACCCCCAATTTTTTTTATCATATTTTGTTCCTCAAATCATGAAATACCTTCACACAAAATTTTAAGGAAAAATCACTGGTAGAACTGAATAGGCTGTTTGGTCTTTAAACAACATGCTGTCAAATAAAATAATGTACACAGATTAATGAAAATAATTTTGTTGTAAGGTACACAGTAATGGAGAACAGAAACATTGATTGGAGTTTTAGAATGAGCAGTAGATTACACAACATCTAATTCATTTTACATATTGTATTTTAAAATTTTCTATTTTTCTGTTTCAGTTGTATGACTTTCTCCACACAAAGCTGCTGCATTATTTTAGGAGAGTAGAAACTTTGTCGGACCAGATAAATCAGGCTATTAACATCACCTGATTGAGTAACAGATAAATCAGGCTATTAACATCACCTGATTAAGAGACAGATAAATCAGACAAGTTCTATTAACATCAATGATTAAAAACTGCAACTTTTGAATGATTGACAAAGAATGACCTATTTATTTTGTTCCTTCATTAAAATTTAGTTGGCACTTGTATTATTTATTAATTGTTTTTTTCATCATTTCCAAGGAAACTGAAAAGTGTTAATTTTCAGCTCACCTGGCCCAAAGGGCCAAGTGAGCTTTTCTCATCACTTGGCGTTCGTCGTCCCTTATCATTAACTTTTACAAAATTATCTCCTCTAAAACTACTGGGCCAAATTAAACCAAACTTGGCCACAATCATCATTGGGGTATCTAGTTTAAAAAATGTGTCCGGTGACCCGGCCAAACAACTAAGATGGCTGCCATGGCTAAAAATAGAACATAGGGGTAAAATGTAGATTTTGGCATATATCTCTGAAACCAAAGCATTTAGAGCAAATCTGACAGGGGTAAAATGTTCATTAGGTCAAGATCTATCTGTCCTGACATTTTCAGATGAATCAGACTACCTGTTGTTGTGTTGCTACCCTGAATAGATAATTTTAAGAAAATTTTGCCGTTTTTATACATTTTTTTTTTTGGTCGTATATTGGTATCACGTTGTCATAGTCGTCTGCGTCGTCGTCGTCAGAAAACGGATGGTTTCCAGATAATAACTTAAGTATAAGTAAATAGAAATCAATAAAATTTTTACACAAGGTTTATAACCACTAAAGGAAGTTGGGATTGATTTTGGGGGTTATGGTCCCAACTGTTTAGGAATTGGGGGCCAAAAAAAGGGCATTTTTGTAGTTTCCAGACAATAACTTGTGTTAAAGAGTATGAATCCATTCAATAAAGGGATGGTTATGATTGACTATGGGGGGTTATAGCTCAAACCAATTAGGAATTAGATGCAAAAAAGGAAGATAAACAAGTTTTTTTCTGGTTAAAGGACAATTAGGACAATCTAAAAGCAGTCTAAGAGAGGTAATCCAATCCCGATTTGAAACAACAATGATTGATAACCTCCCTTACACTGCTTGTAAATTATATATTAAGAAATGATGATTGTCTTGAGGTGATTAGCTGTCAATTTATTTTTAAAAGCTACTATTAATTAATATTAATTTAGCCATGACTTTGTATGTCATTTTATATTTAAGACTTGTATGATGTATTTAAAAGGGTAATAATGGTTGCAAACTTAATTAGAAATTTGAATTCAGATTATGATCATATCATGAGGGAATGAATTTTTTGCGTGAACCCCCTGAGGGGTTCACGCTTATATATTGGCGAGTTTTGGATGTGTCTATGGGCCACTCGATATCTCTCGGCCGGAAAACAGAATAAAATTCTCAGAACGTCTCGAAAGTTTTCAATCATTTATACAGGTTGTTATCAACATCTTTGATATTGTCCCTCTATGGCTAGGCTACCGCGTGACATTGCAACAATCAAAGTAAATTGGAAAGCAAAACAATAAAGACTAAAAGTTGAAGTTAATAATTAAAATGGTTTAAATATAAGAACCAACATATGTGTTTTTAGTAATGTGAATGTTTATAAGCGCTTTGATTTCTAAACAATTATTACATTGGTAGCATTGAATTACATTGATTTCCCAGTCAAATAAAAACCGATAATTTCACATGTGAAATAAACGTGGTTATTTCACTCTCTGACGTCATACCACAATAGGCGTTGTCAAGACGTCGATAACGTCGGATCAAAACAAATTGTGAATGCGTAGAAAAAAGATATAGTTCCTTACATTTTCTACATTAATTTCATTAAAAAAAGCCATTTGCCAATGTAATAAAAAGAATAACTAATCAAAGAATTCAAATATCGAAAAATATTCAACTCGTGACCGAACAACATTGATAATTAACTCATGCGCTACGCGCATTCGTGAATTAATGTGTTGTTCGGTCACTCGTTGAATATTTTTCTCTATTTGAATTCTTCGATTAGTTATTCTATAAATATCATGACGACGCAATTATATTTGTTATAACATGACCACTGTACACCGTGTGTATCTAGGTCAATTATAACGTGGTATTGTCCATTTTCTGATAACATGTAAACTCACTATGTTTGAAGATTTTAACCATGTGATATTGTGTTTTTTCATCATGACTTATGGGAGAGAACATTCTGGTTAAAATATTTATATTAGATCGGAAAACAGAAAGATAATATTATTATCAAAAATATTTAATTCAATTAATTTTATCGAAATCAAAGAAATATATACAAAAATACGTCTGAAGAAACTAACAATAATTGCAGTCAGAATATTTTCATAGTTGCAATTAAGGAACAAATATTTTATATGGCAGGATACTCTGCTTTGGTATTTTAAATATTCATTTGTAAAGGAAACATAATAATTAAATCTGAATAAATCCTTGCATCCTACAAAAAAAATCTTGATAAACAATAATCATTATATTTCTACGTTAATTATTTCATACCGTTTTAGTAAGGTTTTATAAGTGATTGTTATTTGTATTGTAATATATCCATAAAACGGAAAGTAAGATAAATTAATTAAATATTTAAATTTTAAACAGTCGTGAATAAAAATACTTGTGTGTTTTCAATTCACAAAGCATGATTTTAAATCCTTGCAGCTCACAAAACTAGAGGCTCTCAAGAGCCTGTGTCGCTCACCTGACTCTACTTTGGTTTTAGAAATCATGTAAAGATAGATAAAAATCATAACAGATACCCAAATAATGATTGAGGCCAAATTTTGATTAATATTGGTCCCGTTATTTAATAAAATATCCTGGTGGCCATCTTGAACAGTAAATCGGCAACAAAGTAGCAACACTTGGTCAGCACTTCATAAGGAACATTCATGCCATGTTTGATTTCATTCCATTCAGTGGTACTCTAAAAGAAGACATTTGTATGTATTTCCAATAGGGTCCTATGTTAAACTAAGCCCCCCCTTCCCCCCCTAGCGGCCATCTTGGATGATGGATCGGCTACAAAGTAACAACACTTGGTCAGCATCTCATAAGGAAGATTCATGCCATGTTTGGTTTCATTCCATTCAGTGGTTCTTTAAAAGAAGACATTTGTATGTATTTCCCATAGGTCCTTTGTTAAACTAAGTCCCCTGCTGTCGGCCATCTTGGATGATGGACCGACTGCAAAGTAACAACACTTGGTCAGCACCTCATAAGGAACATTCATGCCATGTTTGGTTTCATTCCATTCAGTGGTTCTCTAAAAGAAGACATTTGTATGTATTTCCCATAGGGTCCTATGTTAAACTAAGTCCCCCGCTGTCGGTCATCTTGGATGATGGATCGGCTGCAAAGTAACAACACTTGGTCAACATCTCATAAGGAACATTCATGCCATGTTTGGTTCCATTCCATTTATTGGTTCTCTAAAAGAAGACATTTTTATGTATTTCCCAAAGGGTCCTATGTAAAACTAAGTCCCCCGCTGGGCCATCTTGGATAATGGATCGGCTACAAAGTAACAACACTTGGTCAGCATTTCATAAGGAAGATTCATGCCATGTTTGGTTTCATTCCATTCAGTGGTTCTCTAAAAGAAGACATTTGTATGTATTTCCCATAGGTCCTTTGTTAAACTAAGTCCCCTGCTGTCGGCCATCTTGGATGATGGACCGACTGCAAAGTAACAACACTTGGTCAACACCTCATAAGGAACATTCATGCCATGTTTGGTTTCATTCCATTCAGTGGTTCTCTAAAAGAAGACATTTGTATGTATTTCCCATAGGGTCCTATGTTAAACTAAGTCCCCCGCTGGCGGCCATCTTGGATGATGGATCGGCTACAAAGTAACAACACTTGGTCAGAACCTCATAAGGAACATTCATGCCATGTTTGGTTTCATTCCATTCAGTGGTTCTCTAAAAGAAGACATTTGTATGTATTTCCCGTAGGGTCCTATGTTAAACTAAGTCCCCCGCTGGCGGCCATCTTGGATGAAGGACCGATTGCAAAGTAACAACACTTGGTCAGCATTTCATAAGGAACATTCATGCCATGTTTGGTTCCATTCCATTCAGTGGTTCTCTAAAAGAAGACATTTTTATGTATTTCCCATAGGGTCCTATGTTAAACTAAGTTCCCCGATGGCGGCCATCTTGGATGATGGATCGGCTACAAAGTAACAACACTTGGTCAGCACCTCATAAGGAACATTCATGCCATGTTTGGTTTTATTCCATTCAGTGGTTCTCTAAAAGAAGACATTTGTATGTATTTCCCATAGGGTCCTATGTAAAACTAAGTTCCCTGATGGCGGCCATCTTGGATGATGGATCGGCTACAAAGTAACAACACATGGTCAGCACCTCATAAGGAACATTCATGCCATGTTTGGTTTTATTCCATTCAGTGGTTCTCTAAAAGAAGTCATTTGTATGCATTTCCCATAGGGTCCTATGTTAAACTAAGTCCCCCGCTGGCGGCCATCTTGGATGATGGATCGGCTATAAAGTAACAACACTTGGTGAGCACCTCATAATGAACATTCATGCCATGTTTGGTTTCATTCCATTCAGTGGTTCTCTAAAAGAAGTCATTTGTATGCATTTCCCATAGGGTCCTATGTTAAACTAAGTCCCCCGCTGGCGGCCATCTTGGATGATGGATCGGCTACAAAGTAACAACACTTGGTCAGCACCTCATAAGGAACATTCATGCCATGTTTGGTTTCATTCCATTCAGTGGTTCTCTAGAAGAAGTTCAAAATGTAAAAAGTTAACGCCGACGACGGACGACGGACGCCAAGTGATGAGAAAAGCTCACTTGGCCCTTCGGGCCAGGTGAGCTAAAAAAGTAATAATAATTTACAATAATCATAACAAAATTTAATTACTCCCATAATGTTAATTATGTTATACTGTTCAAGTATGGATGTTTATTTATATAGTGGAATGTTAGAATTTAAAAATTGATTCATTCGATAAATAAAATGTCCATCCGTAAATACTTGATGTTTGTGTTTATTGATATTATATATATGTATATTCAAAATTTTTTGAAAAAAATTATTAACAGGAATGTATGTTTATTATAAAATTTCAATTCTATTTATGTTTATTTGTTTTAATAGTTTAACCTTATTATATAGCATCTAGACATTTGTGCCATATGGTACAGTTTTGAAAATTGTATTCACTGTGTTGACCAACTATCCTTCACGTCTTGATTCATTCACACTATAGATCACATTTCAAACACAAACTATCGGTTTGCGTTCAAAAAAATTCGGTATAAAATGTCAATGAATCCGGAGTCACAACATTTGATGTAGGTAGTTTGACATTCGAATTCAACTATTAGATTAATATATGTGATGACGAAAATGCGTATTCTTTTCCTGAGTATCAGTGTGTATGCTTTCTATTTACTATTTCGTGCACTAAAATACTGCTAGCATGCAATAATACTAATTTCACTCGTGAAATGGCATTTTCGTTTTTCTTTTCTAAATTCAGGACACGGCAGAAAGAGCTTGTCATGTGACTTTCAAGAACGGTCATCATTATTAATGGTATTCTGACCTCTAGCTGTTTCTCTTTTGTTTCTTTTTTTACTCACTGTCCTATAATAAACTTTGACCTTTTCGAAAAACTAAGGATTGTCTACCAAAGGTATAGATTCCTTAACTTTGTAATTTATTTAGCCTTTTAATTTTTTTCATTCGAGGGTCACTGATGCTTTTTTTGTAGACTTAACTCGCGTCTGGCATACATCATTTTAATTCTGGTATCTTTTTTTATCTACATATCTTTTTATATAAATTGGTTATTTTGAAAGTGTGTACAGGACTACAGGTATTCATAAAACTTCTGAATTAAGATATTCTTCGGCAAAACCAAGTTTCCCTGTAGAATGTTTGAATTGATTTAAGTAAAATCAGGAAATCCTTAAAATTTTAGATGTTTTATGAGACCAAAAAATAAGTCTCTTTATAAGAGATCTCAATCAATTGGATGCCACAGGTTTCGTCGCACATGGAAATTGGACTTTAAATTTATCTATACAACATCTACCATGAGTAACGACTTGAGAATAAAAAGGCATCCATGCAGGAAACAAAATATAAAGATATGATAGATAAAATAAATGCATCTAGAATTCCAGATTATAAAGCAAACTGAGTGCACTAATTTATATTGCGATTGGTTTGTGCAATTTGCATAAGTCATCCGGTTTGTAGAAATTGGGATTTGCAAAAGGGATATAATCGGAAAAATTATGTACATTCCCAAGTAATAAATAAAATAGTCAAGCTTTAAAATGTATATTCAAATAGTAGCTGTAAATATACACTTTCAACTGGCTTCTTCTATTCACAGTCAATTATTTCAGGGGCGGATTTAGAGAGTTTTCCAGGGGGCCTGGGCCCCCCCTTTTGTGGGAAAAATTTGGTTGATTATATAGGGAATCACTGAAGCATGACTGGAGCGGCCCCCCTCTTATGAAAATTTCTGGATCTGCCACTGTATTTCAATTCAAAAGCAAACACAAATTTGGTGACCCGGCAGTCAGCGGTCTTAGGTTCACGTATTGCTTTTCTTTTATAGCTCACCAGGGCCCATGTGAGCTTATGCCATCACTTGGCGTCCGTCGTCTGTCGTAAACTATTTCAAAAATCTTCTCCTCTGAAACTACTGGGCCAAATACCTTCAAACTTTAACTAAATGTTCCTTAGGGTATCTAGTTTATAAATTGTATCCGAAGTTTTGATCCATCGACAAACATGGCCGCCATGGCTAAAAATAAAACATAGGGGTCAAATGCAGTTTTTGGCATATATCTCAAAAACTAAAGCTTTTAGAGCAAATCTGACAATGGGTAAAATTGTTCAATTGGTCAAGATCTATCAGCTCTGAAATTTTCAGACGAATCGAACAACCCATTGTTGGGTTGCTGCCACCGAATTGGTAGTTTTAACAAAATTTTGCAGTTTTTTGTTATTATTTTGAATATAATTATAGATATATATAAAATGTAAACAGCAATAATGTTCAGCAAAGTAAGATCTACAAAAAAGTTAATATGACCATAATTGTCAATTGACCCCTTAAGGAGTTATTGCCCTTTAAAGACAATTTTACACAATTTGTTCATCAAGCTAAGTTTGCTAACATTTAAAAATCTTCTCCTCTGAAATACAGGTGAGCGATTCAGGCTCTTGAGAGCCTCTTGTTTAAAGAAAGCAACTTGTTTTGGAATAAGGGAAAGAGAGGTGAAAAAAAATTGGGGGTGGGGGGGGGGGGGGGGGGGAACTATTTTTTCTCATTTCAGATTTTAAAAATTAAAAAGAAATTTCTTCAAATATTTTTTTTGGGGGGGTTAATATTCAACAGGATAATATGTTGCACAAAAGCAAAAAAAAAAAAACGGGGTCAATTTCATTTAGGGGGGAGGGGCTCAATTTGCAACAGCATAGTGTATTGCACAAAAGCAAAAAATTGAATATAGATTCAAATCATATTACCAATTTGTAAGTTCTTTGACTACAGTTATTCTGTGGCAAAAAACTATTATTTGTCAAATATTTAATTACAATCCAAATTCAAACCTGTACCAAGCAGTGGCGGATCTAGAACTTTTCAAAAGGGGGGGCCCGCTGACTGACCTAAAAGGGGGGGTGGGGCCGCTCCAGTCATGTTTCAGTGATTCCCTATATAATCACCCAAATTTTTCCCACGAAAGGGGGGGGGGGGGGGGGGGGCGGCCAAAACATAAATTGTTATCTAACCCTATAAGTCATTTGAGAGTTTTGATGTCCATAGACAGTATCTGAAAATTTTTATTTCTGTCCCTCAACATATTTACCCAATCTTTATTTATAGTCATATCAGTAAAGTCGGTTGGCAGGCAAGAACATCAAACATATTTTTGAACTCATGATGATAATTGTAGTCTGAAATCAGATTGCAAATATATTTTTTAATATAGGTATATCAGGAGAATTTGCTAAAGAACATAATACAACCAAAGTTATTTAATGATAAACCTTTAAAGTTTTTATAGCCCCCATTATGGGTTAGGGTTAGGTTGATCCAAATTGATACACATGACTATGCTTTACTTGTTATAACCAGAATTCTGTCATTTTTTTTATGACATCAGCAAATGCATTTTATCAACACTGGTCAGCATGATGGGTTCCACTGGTGAACCAGGAACAGTTTACCATTGTGAAGCACATGTGCATTCCAACTTGGAAACAGTCTTCAGTTTCTATGTGCAATTAATTGCAATTCTGTCCTTGTGCTACTTCAACTTTTTACTTTTTGTTCTCGTCACTACGACGTTAGCTTTTGAGCTAATTATGACAATGAAACACATCAAATTTCATGAAAATGAGTTTTCCTTTCTGTTTTTAGACATTTTAGCATCATACAGATGGTGAAACAGCAGACATATTGCATATGTAATCATTGCAATGTCCAAAATGAAACAGCTCCTCTGTGTTTATCCCACTACTAAATTCAACAGAAAAAAGTTATTCCTAGGTCTCTGATTATGACTGAACCCTGAAAAACCCTGAAAAATATATCTTAAAAGAAATAAAATGTCTACTACTGTAAACTCAGAAATTATTGCGAGGTTTTTAGTATTGGGATAAATGCAACAGAGTTGTGAACGCAATAATTTAAATATTTTATATGAATTAAACAGGATTTGTCTCAAAATTGTAAAAATTAAAATCGCATTGAAGTCTAAAATGACAAAATCGCAATAATTAATGCACGCAACAATTTCTGAATTTACAGTATCTGAACACATTAATATTTCACTTAAAATCAATCCTTTATTCCAAAATATTTTTTCTTAGCCGTTCTGATAATATCAGTCATAGGTTTTTCACTTTCGTTATTAACTTTTGGTATTCTCAGAGCTCTTCGGACCTTTGGCTGCTGAATAACCATATACTGTACAACACCATACAAACTTGATGTACACCAATACAGACACAAACCCTGAAAACATAAAACATTTCTATAAACTATATCGCGATAAAATATTCAGTATTTCAAATAGTATCAGCTAAGTATCATGATTTCACGTACCTAACATTTCTTATCAATTATTTGTCTATAATGATTAACCCTTTCCCTTTCAGGCATTTTAGACCTTTACTTATTGAAAAGACACTTTCAAAGTTCAAATGAATACTGCATTCGCATCAATTGTCATGCACATGTCATGTTGGGCTCAAATGAAAGATAATTGGTCAAATATTTCAGAAAATTAAGTTTGAAGATAATTCGTCCTTTTTTGGTCACGTGACTGTTGGAGAAAAAGTGAATAAATACAAAATCCTTGGGCAAAAAGTCGTGTAGACATATTGTTGCGCTAATAGGGTAAGGTTTTGGTGGAAACACAATGCCTCGAGTCTGTTAAAGAAAGACTAGTTATCATATTGGTATTAAAAGAGGAATAACATGCTATAGGCCTTGAAATATAGATGTCCGTAACATTCAAAATAACTGATTTTAGACCCTCTTTTCATCCAATTTCAAACTAGGAGACTAGTTTTTTGTCTAATTCGTTTTCAATCAATCAGTAACTTTAATTTTGTTTTTACAAGGGAAAATTCATTGAATTACCAATGCTAGCTTGATCAGGTACACCCTGGACCGAGCCCAATGGAGCAAATGGGGTAAAAAAGGGGTGGGGTGGGGGGGGGGGGGCAATTTGGCACACGCATTCTTTTTAAATCATTTCGTAGGTTTTCTTTTTGAAATTGAAAGTAAAGTTAAGTTAAGTTACAATTAATATAGGAAATGATTCTTCCAACTCCGACAGTGAGATTCGAACATGCAATCGTACCACCTTGGGATAGTTCAGCATACTCCTGCGCCACTGGCATCATCAAGAATTTATTGAAGTTTAAGTACTTAAGTCTACTACTCAAGAAATGTAAAAGAAAAAAAAAATTATAAAGATCCTCACCTTGTTTGTTATCTTTTAGAAATTATGTGTTCAGATGATAATTTTTTGTCGCCAAATGCATGATTTTTACGCAAATATAGGAGGAATAAACTCTTTAGAATGTCATTTTTTTCATTGAAATAAACATGTTCCTTTATTTAAGCAAAAGTGTTTTCAACTTTATAATACCACAACACTTACGAAACCATGTTTTGTTACATCTATTTCAACTTTGCCAAAAAATTTCAGGATATTTTAGTGGTTTTTGTCTCTTTTACCATTAAATCTTTAAGAAATGACTTCGGATTTTTAGCGCATTTCAAGTTTGTGATTGCGCTGGTACACTAAAAATTACATTTTCAACTAGTGTACAAGTTAGAACTATTATTTTAATATTATTCTTTAATAAAATGGGCAGCTTGATACGACCGCAGAGGTCGAACCCTGAACAGTTGGGGCAAGTATGGACACAACATTCAAGCTTGATACAGCTCTGAATTTGGATTGTGATTAAATATTTGACACAGCATAGGTTTCTGACACAGAATGAATGTGGTCTAAGAACTTAAAAATTTTAAATTGGACATTCACCTATTATGGTCCAATATCCAAAATCTAAATACATGGTTAGATTCAGCATATCAAAGAACCCCAAGAATTCAATTTTTGATGAAATCAAATAAAGTTTAATTTTGGACCCTTTTGACCTCAATGTGGACAAATTTGATAACGGGGCCCAAAAATCAAAAATCTAAATACATGGTTAGATTCAGCATATCAAAGAACCCCATATATTCAATTTTTGTTGAAATCAAACAAAGTTTAATTTTGGACCCCGATTTGGACCAACTTGAAAACAGGGCCCATAATCAAAAATCTAAATACATGTTTAGATTCAGCATATCAAAGAACCCTAAAAATTCAAATTTTTGTTAAAATCAAACTAAGTTTAATTTTGGACCCTTTGGTGTAGACCATAATGTAGACCAATTTGAAAACGGAACCAAAAATTAAGAATCTAAATACACGGTTAGATTTGGCATATCAAAGAACCCCAATTATTCAATTTTTGATGAAATCAAACAAAGTTAAATTTTGGATCCTTTGGACCTCAATGTGGACCAATTTAAAAACAGGGCCCAAAATCCAAAAACTTAATACACGGTTAGATTCAGCATATTAAAGAACCCCAAGAATTCAAGAATAAAACCCCATTGAAATTGATCAAGAAATAAGCAATTTATACAAAGTATCTTCTTTTGCACAATACTGTGCAATTAAATATTTCTTGCTATTGCGCAATACTGTACAATTGACAATTTCTTGCTATTGCGCAATATTGTGCTATTGGATATTTCTTGCTATTGCGCAATACTGTGCAATTGAAGATTTCTTGCTATTGCGCAATACTGTGCAATTGAAGATTTCTTGCTATTGTGCAATACTGTGCAATTGAAAATTTCTTGTTATTGCACAATACTTATAATATAATAATTTACACATCCTGTTTGGTGTGTATCTCCTACCATATCATTATTATTTGCTTTTAAATATAAATCAGAAATAACCAACTTAAAATGGACAATTTTAAAAGAAAAAAAAAAAGGAAAAAAAGAAAAAAAAAGAAAAAAAAAAAATCCCCCCCCCCCAAATTTTTTGAACCCCCTTATGATTCATCACCCCCAAACTCAATCCCAGACCTCCCTTTGTGGTATGGTACCTTGCAGTACAATTTCAGAGATCCATACACTTGAACACAAGTTATTGTCTGGAAACTAGAAAAATGCTTATTTTTGGCCCCTTTTTGGCCCCCCAATTCCTAAACGTTTTGGGCAATTACCCCCAAACTCAATTCCAGCTTTCCCTTTGTGATATGGAACCTTGTAGTACAATTTCAGAAATATCCAAACACTTACACACAAGTTATTGTCATGAAACTAGAAAAATGCTTGTTTTTTGCCCCTTTTTTTGGCCCCTAATTCCTAAAATTTTGAGGCAATTACCCCCAAAATCAATTACAGCCTTCCCTTTGTGATATGAAACCTTGTGGTACAATGTCAGAGAGATCCATACACTTACACACAAGTTATTGTCTGGAAGTTACAAAAATGCTTATTTTTGGCCCCTAATTCCTTAACTGTTGGTACCATAACCCCCAAAATCAATCCCAACCTTCCTTTTGTGGTATTGAACCTTATGGTAAAATTTCATGGAGATCCATTCACTTAAACTAAAGTTAGAGTGCGAAAACCAATGTGTCTTCGGACGACGATGACGACGACATACCAATATACGACCAAAAATTTTTTAATTTTTGCGGTCGTATAAAAACTCACTGCACAGTTATTGAAAAAAGTCTTAATTCCGCTAAAAAGAGCAGTTTTCTTTGCACTTCTTTTTGAAAATATTCTTTAAAATATGGAAGAAAAATTACACATCAGTAAGAGGCGACTTGACTATCAACTAATAATGATAGAAGTTTGATGCACATTAAATTACATTGCTGGTTATCTGATGATCAATTTGAGCCCTTAACCACATCTGTACGTCAGCAAATGGTGATGGAACAAGTCTAAATGCCCCAAAAATATCTTGAAATTGGCTTCACCGGTAAGCTGTACCGGTGTGAAAGGGAAAGGGTTAAACCTTGTCTCTTCATAATTATTAACCCTTGTCTGTCCATAATGATTGTAAACTTAGATATATTTGAATGTTTGCTTAGAAGCTGAGACATAGAGAGATTCATTTTTCAGTATATTATAAAATTGAGAACGGAAATAGGGAATGTGTCAAAGAGACAACAACCCGACCATGGAGCAGACAACAGCCGAAGGCCACCAATGGGTCTTTAATGCAGCGAGAAACTCCCGCACCCGGAGGCATCCTTCAGCTGGCCCCTAAACAAATATGTATACTAGTTCAGTGATAATGGACGTCATACTAAACTCCAAATTATACACAAGAAACTAAAATTAATTAAATGCTCCGCTGGGGCGCAGCTTGATACGACCGCAGAGGTGGAACCCTGAACAGTTGGGGCAAGTATGGACACAATATTCAAGCTTGATACAGCTCTGAATTTGGATTGTGATTAAATATTTGACAGGGCATAGGTTTCTGACACAGAATGAATGTGGTCTAAGAACTTAAAAAATTTTAATTTACCTATTCAAACCATATCATTATTATTTGCTTTCATATATAAATCAGAAATAACCAATTTAAAATGGAAAATTTTAAAGAAAAAAAAATGCCCCCCCCAAAATTTTTGAACCCCCTTCTGATTCATCACCCCAAAACTCAATCCCAGCCTTCCCTTTGTGGTAGGGTACCTTGCAGTACAATTTCAGAGAGATCCATACACTTGAACACAAGTTATTGTCTGGAAACTAGAAAAATGCTTGTTGTTTGGCCCCTTTTTGGCCCCAAATTCTTTTAGGGCAATTACCCCCAAACTCAAACCCAGCTTTTCCTTTGTGATATGGAACCTTGTAGTACAATTTCATAAAGATCCATACACTTACACACAAGTTATTGTCCAGAAACTAGAAAAATGCTTGTTTATGCCCCTTTTTGGCCCCTAATTCCTAAAATTTTGAGGCAATTACCCCAAAAATCAATCCCAGCCTTCCCTTAGTGGTATAGTACCTTGCAGTACAATTTCAGAGAGATCCATACACTTGAACACAAGTTATTGTCTGGAACTAGAAAAATGCTTATTTTTGGCCCCTTTTTCCTAAACGTTTTGGGCAATTACCCCCAAACTCAATTCCAGCTTTCCCTTTGTGATATGGAACCTTGTAGTACAATTTCAGAAAGATCCATACACTTACACACAAGTTATTGTCATGAAACTAGAAAAATGCTTGTTTTTTGTCCCTTTTTTGGCCCCTAATTCCTAAAATTTTGAGGCAATTACCCCCAAAATCAATCCCAGCATTCCCTTTGTGATATGAAACCTTGTGGTACAATGTCAGAGAGATCTATCCATACACTAACACACAAGTTATGTCTGGAAGTTACAAATATGCTAATTTTTGGCCCCTAATTCCTTAACTGTTGGTACCATAACCCCCAAAATCAATCCCAACCTTCCTTTTGTGGTATTGAACCTTATGGTAAAATTTCATAGAGATCCATTCACTTAAACTAAAGGTAGAGTGCGAAAACCAATGTGTCTTCGGACGACGACGCCGCCAACGTCATACCAATATACGACCGCAAAATTTTTTTGCGGTCGTATAAAAATGATTCAAGACTTACAAAGGCCAGAGGCTCCTGACTTGGGACAGGCGCAAAAATGCGGCGGGGTTAAACATGTTTTTTGAGATCCCAACCCTCCCCCTATACCTCTAGCCAATGTAGAAAAAACAAACGTACAACAGTACGCACAGTAAAACTCAGTTTAAGAGAAGTCCGAGTCCGATGTCAGAATAGGAAACAAAAGAAAATAAACAAAATGACAATAATACATAAATAACAACAGACTACTAGCAGTTACTGACATGCCAGCTCCAGACCTCAATTAAACTGATTGAAAGATTATGTCTTCATCATATGAATATCAGGCACAATCCCTCCTGTTAGGGGTTTAGTATTGTACCATCATAAAATATATGAGAATAACATAACCCGTGTCATGCCAACAACTGGTTTTAGAATAAATATGTTTAATTCCGATGCAAAGACCCTATAAGTGAATCAATATTAAAGCCAAAATATGCAATCTTTAATGACCTGACAACAGTATCGTAACTATATCCCTTCTTAATTAATAGCACATTCTAAAAAGCCTTTTGTGATGCTGCTTCTTAAGGTAAAACAAATCTTTTTTTTTCACACAATAAGTTTCTTGAAAATTAAGTTCTTGCATACAATTAATAACTGTTATATTTATGTTTAACCCCAGAAAGAAGGCTTTTAAATTGAATCCTAAATTAATACTAACTTTGTAAGTACTTACACTTGGTAACATTGATGAAATGTACATCAAATATATACTGACAAAACGGAAGAAAAACTTCATCAATTTCATAGGCAATGGCTCTGCTTCTAGTTTACTTTGTAGTGATAGCAAATGCATCTGAAAAGAAACAGCTTTTCAAATCATAAAAGAACTAAGCCTTCATGTCTATTGTCAACATTTCTTTTGCTCATTTAGAGTAGCATCATTACATAACATTCTCTACAGGGATCAGCATGATAACAGTCAAGATCAAGTTATTTTATTTTAGATATCTATATTTGAATCTTGACATTATTTTACAATAAAATGCAGGGTGCAGCTTGATAAAACCACTGAGGTTGAACCATGAACAGTTGGGGCAAGTATGGACACAACATTCAAGCTTGGTACCGTTCTGAATTTGGATTGTGATTAAATATTGAACACAGATTTGGTTCCTGAAACCAAATGAATGTGGTCTAAGAGCTAAAGAAATAACTTTATAAAGGGACTTAATTCAAGAACTGTAAAAGTGATGATACCAAAATTTGTACTTGATCTGACATTTGTGGTAATTAGCATTGTGTATATCTTTCATAACATTTAGTTGAGGCAAACGTCAGTTAGAGAACAGAAACTAATATTTCAGCAATTTTTCCATTCCTAAAGGGCAGAACTGTAGAAAGGAAAAATTGACACCCCCAAAATTCAAAATCAATGTGTTTTTAGTAATTAGCATTATGTATAAGTTTCATAAGATTTGGTTGAGGCAAACTAAAAGTTAGAAAAAGGAAATGAAAGCAATTTTTCCATTTGTAAAGGGGCATAACTCTACTATGTTAAACATGACGCCACCAAAATTTAAACTTGATCTGTGTTTTGTGTTAATAAGCATTGTGTATTAAAGTTTCATAACATTTGGTTTAGGCAAACTAAAGTTAGAGAATGGAAACCAATTTTGGGACGTATGGAAAGACGTACAGACTGACAAGGGTAAAACTTAATGCCCCTCCTCTATAGCCAGGGGCATAAGGTGGGGGCATAAAAATTTGAAATTTGTCAATTACCTCATATGGTCCAATAACCAAAATCTAAATACATGGTAAAATTCAGTATATTGAAGAACCCCAAGTATTGAATTTTTGATGAAATCAAACAATATCTAATTTGGGACCCTTTGAACCTCATTGTGAACGAACCTATTTGATAACGAGAGCTCAATCTAAAATCTAGATACAAGGTTAGATTCAGCCCTACAAAGAACCACAAAAATTCAATTTTAAGTTTAATTTTGGACCCTTTGGAACTTAATGTGGACCAATTTAAAACAGGGCAAAATATCAAAAATCAATATACATGGTAAGATGCGGCATATCAAAGAAACTCCAAGAATTCAAGACTTTGAATTGATCAATTTGATCACCATTTGGATAAGTCAAGAAATAAGCAATTTATACAAAGTATTAGAAAAGTGTTGTTTTTACGCATTTTTGGTCAATAATTCCTAAACAGTTAGAGTCATATAACCCCAAAAATCAATCACAAACTTCCTTTTGAGGTATGGAATTTTGTGATCCAAACACTTATATACAAGTTATTACCCTGCAACCAAAAAAAAAGGTACCATAGTTTTTTGCACCTTTTTGGTCCCTGATTTCTAAACAACCTTTTTTTCTTTTGTGATATGAAACCTTGTGATATAATATAATATTATACATAATGAGGCATTATCCAAATAAAAAGAACAGACAATCTTCTCCTTTTACTAATATCTAATCAAACACATCATTTTCTGTCATTAAATTGTGATTTTATAATAGATCTGACAGATCTGTACATGCATCAATGCATGCAATTGATTGAGGTCACATGTATACAATAGCATAACTGATGAACCATTAATTGAGGGAACATGTATACAATAGCATAACTGATGAACCATTGATTGAGATCACATGTATACAATAGCATAACTGATGAACCATTGATTGAGGTCACATGTATACAATAGCATAACTGATGAACCATTGATTGAGGGAACATGTATACAATAGCATAACTGATGAACCATTGATTGAGGGAACATGTATACAATAGCATAACTGATAAAACATTGATTGAGGGAACATGTATACAATAGCATAGATGATGAACCATCTATGTGGTTACCGCTGTAAATAACATGTGGTAAAAAATTGTACCATACGCTGATATGATGCACTTTTTTAGGTTATAACATAGTCTTGTTATGTGAGTGATTTTATTCCATGTTTTTTAGTCAAAGTATTTATATTTGGCAATTTAATTAAACCGATAAATATCCTGAACTTACTTTCATAGTATAATAGTGTTATGACTGCATGATGTGAATTCATTGTTGACCACTCTTCTGGATATATTAATTAATGTTTGAATAATATTAAGTTCAATAGCTATTTGTCACATATTTATAGAATTATGCCTTTAATGTATTATGAGTCTTTGTTTTTAAGACCCACCAAAAAAGAATGCTAATTAAATTTAAAAAACTAAAATTTGCTGAGGGGCTTCTGAATTTTACTTCAAAGAAGAAAAACATAACACATAGAAGCAAATTATTTCTTTCATGAAAATTGTGGAATAAAATTACAAAAACAGTGTACAATTAAAGACAAAAGCAAAAATTTGGAAATGATCACTGTAATGTAGAAATGATCACAGTAATGTGTAAATGATCACTGTAATGTGGAAATTATCACTGTAATGATCACTGTAATTCGACCTTAATCTATAACTTGATAAAACTATATACCAAATTTCATATCAATATTTTCAAGCACGAAGAAAAAAGTGTGGAAAACTGATTTGCGGGACTGGAGGATGGACAGACAGACAGACAGATGGACAGAGTGCAAAACTAAAGTCCCCTTCGACTTATTTGGTAGGGGACTAATCAAACTGTAGGACTGATTCTTGGTTTCATTATAACGTTCAATGAGTTTCCAATCATTCAAGCTATTGGAATAAGTGTGTTTTATTCTTAAAGTTTACCTCAGTTAGTAAAAGATTACTAATGCCAATTATGACAGGAAGTATGAAGAGTGGATCTGGAATTGTTAAGTCTGTGAACCACAGAATACCACCTCCACTGGTAAAACCCTCGTAGATACTTGTTGGTTCATCTAAAACAAACAATACCAAATTATCACAAATGTGTGTCATATTTTCAAGTGGATTTGAAATCAAAGTGCTTGTAAGCACTGAACGGTGAAGATTGCTCCAATTTATCAGTGGGAAGTAAAATTAATTATTGCATTGGTTGTAGTTGATTTAACAGCAATTCTAGACAAAGTAAGATGACTAAAAATTTTTCAAAGATGATTTTAACAATGACATCTATTTTTAGAACAGATTTTAGATTCCTGCACCTTGCAAAAGTTATGTAATTTTCTTGACAAGTGTAACATCATGTTGTGCCTTGAATATCTGAGCATATATTACATTGATAAATTTCTGGAAATGTTCATGGATAGGATGTATAGAATGTTTTGATCAATGCACTATATTTTGTGTATCAATAATTGATTGAGTGATCAGCAGATTAAAGACCATCGAAGGTGTTAATTAGGTCTTAATCATGTCAATATTGAAGAGAACAGTTACATAAACAAATGCTATAATGGATATTGAATTGTAAAATTTTGTTTCTAATGAAAAGCAAGCCCATCATGAAATTATTATTTTCTGTACAAGAATTAGGAGGATATTAAATGAACACTTTATCATAGCATATCATCACCAGAAATCTGACTTTCGTAGATCAACTATATCATGTATATTTTGTATGAGAATTAAAAGATCCAAAGTTGCACAATTAAGGTTTTTAAAGATTAAGTGGGTATACCCCTGCCTGCAATTGTATTTCATAGTGCATTTGGTAGATTTGCTGATATTCAATGTATTCTCTAATTATATGATCGGTAATCAAACATACATGGGAATCTTTCCATGTCTTGATTTTGACATCACTCATTATATTTCGTTGGACACTTAAATTCGTGGATAAAGTCATCCACGAAAACCACTAAAATTGGTTCCCCATGAATAAAAGTACTTTCACAGTATATAATTCAATTTGTTTGTGATAATTATAGATTATCGTTGATCATCGAGATTGATTTTCTCGCCTGAGCCAGTACAGCAAATAGAAGAAAAGCAATAGAGTTGAGATGACCAATGATAATCTGTTTATGGCTATTTTACCTATGACAACATTGCTAATTTTATGTTCATTTCATTAACAATGGCACATGCTCCCTTAGTTTCTAGCGATAATTTTTCATATCACTCGACTGTGATGAGAAAGAAAATTATCAGTCAGTTTGATCAAAGGAAAATGTCGTAAAATAGTGATAACAATAATGTATAATAGTATTATTAATGATGTTTCTCCAATTTTTGGGATATTTTCATGTTTCTTGAGCGGTGTGAGAAAAATATTTCTCCTGACTAGTGAAATATCTGTTCTCAGCAAATGGTTGATCGAAATATTTTAAATTATGTCGTTTTTGCTGAATTTCCTATTCTGACATTGTGAAAAATGGCTACCATGTCTAATGACGTCACACATAAAGAACACAACTTCCTGCAAATCTTTGAAAAGGAAGAATAACAAACATTCTGTGAGTATTGCATGGCAATACATAGTCCCCGACCTATTAAAAATTCATTGTATTGGAACAAAAATTCAATCTTGATCTCTAACTTGTCACGGTGTACATTATATAACAAATTTCAGGTCAAAATCTTTAAGCATGATGAAATAAAGTGTTGAAAACTGGTTTTAGGTGAATTTTGTGCAAGTCCAAGGACCATAACTCTGCACAAAATTATCAGACGGGAACAAAATTCTGACTTGAGCTGTAACCTGTCATGATGTCATACAAGTATATACCATTTTCAAATCAACCTCTTCAATCATGACAAACAAATGAGGGGAAAACTGATAATTTCAGTGAATTTTCTGTCCAAGGACCATAACTCTGCACAATAACATCAGAACAGAACAAAATTCAAAATTTGATCTGTAACTTGTCATGATAAAAGAATGCATCAAATCAATATCATCAAGCATAAGGAAAATAAAATGCTCCGCTGGGGCGCAGCTTGATACGACCGCAGAGGTCAAACCCTGAACAGTTGGGGCAAGTATGGACACAACATTCAAGCTTGATACAGCACTGAATTTGGATTGTAATTAAATATTTGACACAGCATAGGTTTCTGACACAGAATGAAAGTGGTCTAAGAACTTATAATTTTTTAATTTACCTATTCATACATGTGATGGACTGTGAAACTCAGATCAGGAGATTGGGAAATTTTGGTCAGGAGATTAGGACTCAGATCAGGAGGTTTTTAATCGACATAAATTTTGTCGTAAATGTAACCGTGTGCTGTAAAAATGGTCTTTTAAAGTGTGTTTTCTTCAACTTTCCATCCAATTTATTATGTTTATAGTACCCTTGTACTTATAAAGTTTCTCCATCTTTATATTTTACATGTTCAATCTAACATTTTTTTTTTTCAGTATGTTCTTTAAATTTTTTACTTCATATTCTATAAAACATTTATTGCAACCAGAACATTTGTTTATCTATCTGCAAATAGCTTTTGTTTGCATACTCAGAAAGTCATTCTAACTGTAAAACAAGGGTCATAGTTATTATATAAATTTCAATTTAAGCCTTGAAAGGAAGTATAGAATCCTCAAATAATTTTCAAATTATTATTTTTTTATTTGTCCTAAGACATTTAAAATCATTTATTTACCATCCTTTTATGATTATTTGTTCAATTTATATTTTATTTATATTCTTTTAAAAATTTTCATTATTAAAAGGAAAGTAACTTAAAACAGGATAAATCAAGGGAAGTAACCCAATAAATACACAGTTTTTGTTACACAACGGCAGTTAGCCTGAGGTAAAAAATCATTGATTACCAGTATGTTTGACACCCAAGCTGACAAGTGAAGCCATAAAATTATGCATGTTAATTGATTTACAGGTAAAATATAACTTCAGGTAATGTGAGTTACACCAGATGCCTGAGATGATATGTTGGGCAGAAATTTTTCATTCATGAAAAATTTCATACACGGGATTATAATTTTCCTCTTCAACCGGAGGTCAGGAGGAGACTCCTGAAAACAGGATTATTGTACACCTGTCGGGAGGTTCACATGTATGCTATTCAAACCATATCATTATTATTTGCTTTTATATATAAATCAGAAATAACCAATTTAAAATAGAAAATTTTAAAGAAAAAAAAGGAAAAAAAAATCCCCCCCCCCCAAATTTTTTGAACCCCCTTATGATTCATCGCCCCCACACTCAATCCCAGCTTTCCCTTTGTGGTATGGTACCTTGCAGTACAATTTTAGAGAGATCCATTCACTTGAACACAAGTTATTGTCTGGAAACTAGAAAAATGCGTTTTTTTTACCCTTTTTGGCCCCTAATTCCTAAACGTTTAGGGCAATTACCCCCAAACTCCAACCCAGCTTTCCCTTTGTGATATGGAACCTTGCAGTACAATTTCATAAAGATCCATACACTTACAAACAAGTTATTGTCCTGAAACTAGAAAAATGCTTGTTTTTTGCCCCTTTTTGGCCCCTAATTCCCAAAATTTGGAGGAAATTACCCCCAAAAATCAATCCCAGTATTCCCTTTGTGATATGGAACCTTGTGATACAATGTCAGAGAGATCCATACACTTACACACAAGTTATTGTCATGAAACTAGAAAAATGCTTGTTTTTTGCCCCTTTTTGGCCCCTAATTCCTAAAATTTGGAGGCAATTACCCCCAAAATCAATCCCAGCATTCCCTTTGTGATATGGAACCTTGTGGTACAATGTCAGAGAGATCCATATACTTACACACAAGTAATGTCTGGAAGTTACAAAAATGCTTATTTTTGGCCCCTTTTTGGCCCCTAATTCCTTAACTGTTAGTACCATAACCCCCAAAATCAATCCCCACCTTCCTTTTGTCGTATTGAACCTTATGGTAAAATTTCATTGAGATCCATTCACTTAAACTAAAGTTAGAGTGCGAAAACTAATGTGTATTCGGACGACGACGACGACGACGCCAACGTCATACCAATATACGACCACAAAAATTTTTTTGCGGTCGTATAAAAATGAGGAAAACTGATTTGCCTAACTGAAACTGACAGACGGACGGACGAACTTTGGTCCAGGTGAGCTAAAAAGGGGGAAAGGCACATGTCATAGTGGATCATGAAGACTCACCTCTCTTACTAATGGTAAAACCACATAGGTTTCTGATTCCATATGACATAAAAATCCAGGCAGGAAACTGCACTGCTACAACAAGAGTTCCTCTGGCTGGATGACAGTTATGTTCTTCTATCTTCTTTTTCAGCTGTTTTCTCACCTATGAAGTATTAATTATACAATTTAAAAATAACATCCCTGATATGTTACCAAATTGATCGTTTTTTATACAGTTTTTAATTACTTTTTTTACAATTCTAGTCTTGCTTTATAATTTTTGCTTAATTTGTCTTTTTTTTATAAATTTCAAGATAACTATAGGCAAAAACACTAAGGTATAAGGCAAAAAAATGCCAAAAAATGTATAAACATCTTTATTAAAGGTCAAACCCTCCAGTCATTGGAGGATTTTAAAGTTTCTCATCTATCTATATTAGTTTTTCCAGATAAAAGGTAAAAATTATAAAAATTGGTAAAATTTGTCATTTCAGGGCAACAACTACTATAAAAAGTCATTTGACAGTTTTAATGCCAAATGGACGTTAGGTAGAACATTCTTAGCATTTTTGCCTGCATCAGATTTTCTCTATTTATAGTGTATTTCAAGATAGTATGTTCTATTTAAAGCCAAGTTGGTTGTAGGAGAGGGAGGTTATTTAACACTTTTTTATAGGGATGTCAACGAGTACTCGAGTATTCGAGTATTGCTCGGTAGTACCGAGTATCGAATACCAAAACAATACTCGGCTAATCAGTTTCCTGTTAGAATATTGCTGTCTTCTTTATATAAAATTGATCTTCTTGTGAACCTCTTTCGGAAAATGAAATAGGCATCACTGATTAATCATACTAGTAAATAAACTACATGTTGTTTAGAATGCTTGGGCTTAATTGTCATTTCAAATGCCTCCGAAAATACGTGGTCTATACCTAGGCTTACACTTTAAACTAAACATGTCTTAACCATTCCATCACATCCGTACCGTCAGAGGAAATATTTTTGTCTGCAAGACTAATTTACAAAGTTGCAAAACCGACTGTCCCCAATAATAGTTGACAAGAAAATGTTTCCAAATAAAGTAAATTTGTTGCATCCTCTGGTGACCCTCAGTGAATAGTTAAACTTCTAATCCTTACGTCTTTGTAAATAAATGTGTTTTCTTAACGATTACCAAATACTATTGTTTGATATGGTGTTTCCTTGTTAAAATTTCAAATAGGTGATCATTAAATCATATTGATTAGATTTGTTTTTTACTTAATTAGTACTTGCAGGAAATAGGCTGTCAATTATGGTGTATATATAACTCCTTGCCCCATATACTTATGTAGATGGGTTTTTGTCCATTGAACAACAAAGTACAGAATGTAAAATACGTATTTTTGTGTTTCCGTGTTGTAGATATATTACTGAGCGAGTACTCGAGTATCGCTCGATAAAACCAACGAGTACTCGATTAGTAATTGTTCACCGAGTTGACATCCCTACTTTTTTTATAAATAAATACCCCATGATGATTGTGGCAAAGTTTGGTTAAATTTTTCCTCGTAGTATCAGAAAACTTCAATACAATATCATTATGCAAATTTTGCTTTTTTTCAGCAAGAAAGCACATTATAAAAGCTATCATCTCATATCATGCATATTCTATTTTAAAATATTTACACAAAATTGTGGTTTCTGGCACAACCTGAAGCTTGGAAAAATGCTCCATGACCTACAATTTTCATTTCATTTTTTAAAACACATTATATTTATAACAACATTTTTGCAAAGTATTAAAATATCTTATTGTTTTAATTCAGACCCCAATGTACCTGAAAATTTTCTTCTACTGAACACACAAAAGATTATGTTGCTCTTTTATAACTCAGTTGTAATGTCAACACAAGAAACATTTAAATTAAATTTACATTTCTAGCCAATAACATCTTGGATTCATTCTGTGTCAAATTATGCTTCCTGCTGTAATGAAATACTTCTCCTCTCAAGGTCTTGGCTACTTCTCCCATTTCTTGGTTGACAGCAGCATATCGAGCCATGTTTCTCTGTGATACTATAAACAGGGGCAGCGTTAAACATGTTCGCAAAAGAATTGTACTTAGTATAATGGTTGCCCACCACGGCAGGCCAGTATAGTCATGAACTGATATTATATAGTCAAAAGCTACACGAACTGGTGCAAATTCAGTTGATGTGTAATAAGCCCAACTTGCTTGAGAAAAGCTTCGTGTATTAGAAATTGCTAAACCTGGAAAAATATTCCTTTTCAGCAGATTTTTGCTGAATTTAGGATTATTGTGACAATCTAAATGCCTTTGTTCATTAAAAACTGAAAGATATCTAAACTGATTGACATAACAATATTTGCATCTATTTAGCTGGTCATTTTTTTGGATGAATGAGAAGCCTTTCTGTTGGTAAGCAATGCCAGGTAAAACAGCTGACATATTTCTGCAGCCAACTTGTGTCCATTTTATTCTTTGCACATTTGAAATATGATCAACTGACTGTGACGACCTTTTAAGAAATACCATTGTCATCTGTAAAATATCAAAGAAATTACTGGTATTACAAAATTACACAAATGTGAAAGGTTAAAGGTTATTTACATGTATGTGCAAGTATATATAACTGCCCTATATATCTTGTATATCAAAATCATGCAACTTAAACATGTAAATTTAACACATCAAAAGAGGTTCAAAAATCAAATTCGTCTGCTGACAGAATGATTTAAATCAGATTGTATATTCATTTTCATCTGTTGATGTGCATGCTTTATTTTTTTCCACAGCTTTACTGCGTGGAAATTTATTTTTACTTTAATACACAATTTCCTGCATTTTGTAATGCAGTCTTGTGCACGATTATTAATTTTCAGCTCTTACCTTTTCATATTCCTCCTATGGAATTAACTAGCAATTAAAAAGTGTAATTTATTATGTCCTAGAATCTCATATTAGTGTTAAAAAAGAGGGACCATGTATAGTCATATGAAACTTTAAATTAAAAAAACAACAATTTTCAGGACATTTTAGATGTTGATTAAAGCTGACAAAACAAAACATGAATTTTCAGTGCGTTTTGAGTTTGTCTTAATGTTGATACTCTATGAATCAGATATTTTATATATGTACAGGTTTTATAGTATTCTTGTAAAAGAACACGACACAGTTATCAAAATAGTCATATTTTTTGTTTTAAATCAATGATTTGTTTTATGATCTTCTGTGAAAACAATCTATCTAAAACTAAAGATAATAACAGTTTTCTCCAAAAATATTCTTGTCATTATAGGGCAAATTGATGTAACGCATTCAATGGTACTAGTTTCAGACACTATAAATCATGTTGATGGTATTCTGAAAATTAATGTGAGCCCTCAACCACATCTGTATGTCAAAATATGTGAACGATTTAAGACTTCATGTAAACTATTTGTCTAAAAATTTGGCTTCTCGGTCAATTTGACTGAATTGGTAAAATTGTCTGATAGGAACTTTAGAGGGTTAAGTGAGAGAACCGAAACAAAATATTCAGCAATTTTTCCATTTGTAAAGGGGCATAACTCTAAACAGTTAAAGTGACACCACCAAAATTCAAACTTGATCTGTATTTTGTGGTAATAAGCATTGTATATATATAAGTTTCATAACATTTGGTTGAGGCTAACTTATGTAAGAGAATGGAAACGAAAAATTCAACGATTTTTCCATTTGTAAAGGGGCATAACTCTATAACGTTTAAAATGACAACACCAAAGTGCATAATTGATCTATGTTTTCATAATATTTGGTTGAGGCAAACTAAAGAAAGAGAATGGAAACCAACTTGGGATGTACAGACAGACATGGGTAAAACTTAAAAGCGGAGGGGGCATTAAATTATTATTCACTCAAATTATTTTTGTTTTGTTAAAATAGTTGTTTGTCTAATGTTATTTCTCAAAACATAAGAGAAGTGACCACTGTCCAGTATAAAAATATATTAAATATATTATATATACTAGTGAAAACATCTTAGAAGAATGTTACAATAATCTAGGAATAATCATAATAATTATAGTGTTAATAAGAAATTGTGGGAGGGGACAATTTTTTTTCATTTCAGATTTCAGAAATTAAAAAGAAAATTTCTTCAAATATTTTTATTTTTTTGCCAAAAAAAGGGCAGGGGGTCAATTTGCAACAGCATAGTGTATTGCACAAAAGCAAAAATTTGAAAATAAATTCAAATCATATAACCAATTCTAAGTTCTTTGAGTTTCTGTTCAGGGTTGGACCTATGCAGTCGTATCCAGCTGCGCTCATCGAGGGAATTTATCATAGTTTGTTCTTATACGTACGGTTACACCGCTGTCCTAGGTTAGGGGAGGGTTGGGATCCTGCTAACATGTTTGACCCCGACACATTCTGTATGTATGTGCCTGTCCCAAGTCAGGAGCCTGTAATTCAGATGGTTGTAGTTTGTTGCTGTGTTACATATTTGTTTTTTGTTCATTTTTTGTACATTAATAATGCCATTAATTTTCTCCTTTGAATTGTTTTACATTTGTCATTTCAGGGCATTTTATGTTGACCATGGGGTAAGGGCTTTGCTCATTGTTGAAGGCTGTGCAGTGACCTATATTTGTTAATTTCTGGGTCATTTGGTCTCTTGTGGAGAGTTGTCTCATTGGCAATCATACCACATCTTATTTTGTATATAAAAATATTTTAATGACATTGAAGAAACAAACATCGAAGTTTTCAAGGCTAGATTTACTAATTTTGAAATTCAATAAAAATCTTATTGAAGGGATTTAAAATGGAATTGTCAATTTGGAATAAAATGCTACGCAGGGCGCAGCTTGATACGACCGCAGAGGTCGAACCCTGAACAGTTGGGGGAAGTATGGACACAACATTCAAGCTTGATACAGCTTTGCATTTGGATTGTGATTAAATATTTGACACAGCATAGGTTTCTTACACAGAATGAATGTGGTCTAAGAACTTAAAAATTTTAAATTGGACATTCACCTATTATGGTCCAATATCCAAAATCTAAATACATGTTTAAATTCAGCATATCAAAGAACCCCAAGAATTCAATTTTTGATGAAATCAAACAAAGTTTAATTTTGGACCCTTTTGACCTCAATGTGGACAAAGTTGATAACGGGGCCCAAAAATCAAAAATCTAAATACATGGTTAGATTCAGCATATCAAAGAACCCCATATATTCAATTTTTGCTGAAATCAAAGTTTAATTTTGGACCCTGATTTGGACCAACTTGAAAACTGGGCCCATAATCAAAAATCTAAATACATGTTTAGATTCAGCATATCAAAGAACCCTAAGAATTCAATTTTTGTTAAAATCAAACTAAGTTTAATTTTGGACCCTTTGGACCTTAATGTAGACCAATTTGAAAACGGAACCAAAAATTAAGAATCTAAATACACGGTTAGATTCGGCATATCAAAGAACCCCAATAATTCAATTTGTGATGAAATCAAACAAAGTTTAATTTTGGACCCTTTTGACCTCAATGTGGACAAAGTTGATAACGGGGCCCAAAAATCAAAAATCTAAATACATGGTTAGATTCAGCATATCAAAGAACCCCATATATTTAATTTTTGTTGAAATCAAACAAAGTTTAATTTTGGACCCTGATTTGGACCAACTTGCAAACTGGGCCCATAATCAAAAATCTAAATACATGTTTAGATTCAGCATATCAAAGAACCCTAAGAATTCAATTTTTGTTAAAATCAAACTAAGTTTAATTTTGGATCCTTTGGACTTTAATGTGGACAAAGTTGATAACGGGGCCCAAAAATCAAAAATCTAAATACATGGTTAGATTCAGCATATCAAAGAACCCCATATATTCAATTTTTGTTGAAATCAAACAAAGTTTAATTTTGGACCCCGATTTGGACCAACTTGAAAACTGGGCCCATAATCAAAAATCTAAATACATGTTTAGATTCAGCATATCAAAGAACCCTAAGAATTCAATTTTTGTTAAAATCAAACTAAGTTTAATTTTGGACCCTTTGGACCTTAATGAAGACCAATTTGAAAACGGAACCAAAAAATTAAGAATCTAAATACACGGTTAGAATCGGCATATCAAAGAACCCCAATAATTCAATTTTTGATGAAATCAAACAAAGTTTAATTTTGGACCCTTTTGACCTCAATGTGGACAAAGTTGATAACGGGGCCCAAAAATCAAAAATCTAAATACATGGTTAGATTCAGCATATCAAAGAACCCCATATATTCAATTTTTGTTGAAATCAAACAAAGTTTAATTTTGGACCCTGATTTGGACCAACTTGAAAACTGGGCCCATAATCAAAAATCTAAATACATGTTTAGATTCAGCATATCAAAGAACCCTAAGAATTCAATTTTTGTTAAAATCAAACTAAGTTTAATTTTGGACCCTTTGGACCTTAATGTAGACCAATTTGAAAACGGAACCAAAAATTAAGAATCTAAATACACGGTTAGATTCGGCATATCAAAGAACCCCAATAATTCAATTTGTGATGAAATCAAACAAAGTTTAATTTTGGACCCTTTTGACCTTAATGTAGACCAATTTGAAAACGGAACCAAAAATTAAGAATCTAAATACACGGTTAGATTCGGCATATCAAAGAACCCCAATAATTCAATTTGTGATGAAATCAAACAAAGTTTAATTTTGGACCCTTTTGACCTCAACGTGGACAAAGTTGATAACGGGGCCCAAAAATCAAAAATCTAAATACATGGTTAGATTCAGCATATCAAAGAACCCCATATATTTAGTTTTTGTTGAAATCAAACAAAGTTTAATTTTGGACCCTGATTTGGACCAACTTGAAAACTGGGCCCATAATCAAAAATCTAAATACATGTTTAGATTCAGCATATCAAAGAACCCTAAAAATTCAATTTTTGTTAAAATCAAACTAAGTTAAATTTTGGATCCTTTGGACCTTAATGTAGACAATTTGAAAACGGAACCAAAATTTAAGAATTTAAATACACGGTTAGATTCGGCATATCAAAGAACCCCAATAATTCAATTTTTGATGAAATCAAACAAAGTTTAATTTTGGACCTCAATGTGGACCAATTTAAAAACGGGGCCAAAAATCCAAAAACTAAATACACGGTTTAATTAAGTTAGTTAGTTAGTTAGTTGATTAATTAAGTTTAATTTTGGACCCCGATTTGGACCAACTTGAAAACTGGGCCCATAATCAACAAGAAATGATTGTAACAGGATGCTGTTACGAAGTCTCCCAAACGAAGCTCCCATAATTCATAATTCCCAGGGTCGCCTGACATTGGGCAACGTCCAGTGAAAATTGGTTTTGTCCAGTAAAGTTATATGCATTAGTGATGCCTGGGGACTAACCTTGTATATCATTCAAATCATCTTGGCATGACAAACCAGAATATATATGGTTTAGGGGTGGGGATCTCAACCATTTACAAGATACTAGAATATTGGGGGTGGGGAGGAACCCCTGGGGACTGGCCCTATAC